GTTCCATTACTGTTGGTTTGAGGTTACTGGAACATTTTTATAGACAACATCATTGCTGTGTTTGTGCTTCTTGTAGTCTGGTGCACAATGTCTTCCACTTACCGCAACTTCCGAAACAGCGTGCCGTGGCTAATCCTTCTTCTGGAAGCTGTTTTCATCATCCTCTTTTACTTTTTGTTCTCACATGATCATGTATTCATTAACTCCTACCCAGGTAAGATGAGCAGCCTTGTTGTGACAGGAAGGGTTAATGCCTGCTTTTCTTCTGCGGAGCTATAGAGATGGGATCCAGTGGGTTTGTGTATTTGTTAGAAGTAGAATGGTTTGCTGCCCTTTGAGTGCTCCACCTTGCCGTGTATGCTGTGTATTTATTATAAGCAATGACACTGATCAAAGACCTAAATGATACTAAATGGCATAGTTGGTCTGTTTTCTGCTGCCTGTTTGTGGTGATCTTGACCCCTATGAATGCAGCCAAGTCCTCAGGGCAGGCACTGCTCTGTGTTAAGTGGTCTTGGCCTTTGAAAGCGTCGTTGGGCTACACAGTAAGAGATCAGGATGGCACTGGTCTCCATTTGAGTGCTTGATGGAAATAAATGAAGCTAATACAGTGGAATTAAGGATTTAAGTGTATTCTGGAGGTGTATTTTGTGCATTGATCAAAGGAATGTATTAGCAGGTTATGCTATGGCCATAGTGTGCAGTCTGTTTACAGTGTTGTGCAAATAAGAGCTGATTAATCCTCGTGACATTCTTATGTTACCATCCCTGTTTTATAGCTAAAAAAGTACAGATCTACTTCCTAGCAGCTTGATATTTTGCAGAAGGGACAGCCCAGTACAAGGATATGAGAATATGACTGTTTGCATGTCCTGGGGGACGCTTTCAGACCTACTGATCCAAGGGCTTGTCTCTTGGACAGCCTCTGCCTTCTATGCAGTGGTGCTGGTTTCCATATTAAACTTTCTACAGCTATTTCTGTTCCTCTACCCAGATGAGAACATCATATGGGTTTCTCTTTGTAACTCATTTCTTCCCTCGTGCCCTCAAGAAACGAATCAGCACTAATTCCCAGTAACTGTCCCTGAAAAGTCCAACTCTTTGAATTTGCCTCAGGAAAAATGAAAGCCCAAATTTCATTGGTAAATGTACTTCATTTCTGTTGTGCTTTTGGACCCCTCAGCCCCCTCCCTATCATCCATTCTGATCACCTGGTGAAAAATAAACTTGGGGTCAAGAGGATTGTTTTTCTCATTACTTATGGATTGGGAGGAAAGTTCTGGAATTCTTTATTGAATAATAATGGCACCAAACTTTTTATCTGAAGGCTTTTTAGTTAATTGTGATTATTATTTTTTTTTAATCCAGTCTGAATTAATAACTTCACTCCTGGCTTGATCTTTTCTGTCATGCAGCTTTTCAAGATGTCAGCCACATGGTGATTTTTGGATTTGGCTTTTTCCTGATGTTTCTGAAAAGATACGGGTTTAGCAGCACTGGAATCAACCTCCTGATCATTGTACTTGGTGTCCAGTGCTCCGTGCTGATAGATTTGTTGATTTTACTTCTTCAAAGGCAAAATGAACATAATCTGGAAAGGTAATTAGTTTGTGTTAGAATTGGAATCATTCTTTCTGTATAGGCCCTGGTGTGGTCCTGATACAGAATCTTTTATTCTTATTGCAGACTAATAAAGGCTACTATGAGCATGACTGCTGTGGTCATCTCCACTGGAGCTGTTCTTGGGAAGACTAACCCAGTGCAGTTAATTCTGATGACAGTTCTGGAGCTAATAGTTTTCCGTATGAGCAGATGGATCAACAACACATTCCTGCAGGTACTGTAATAGGATTTCAGGCACATGAGGGAAAAATTCACTGGGACTTTAGCATGTTGCCTTTTGGTGGTTTGTTAGTGGAATTGTGTGTTTATGAGCTGCACTGAATTCAGGTAGGTTAATCTTGCATGGGCAGCTTGTGCATAAACTGAGGCACTGGGAAAATCAATTGCTTATAGGGAGGTTACATGAGCAACTGTACCAGGAATTGCATCAAAGTCTTCCTGTGGCCTGAAATAAACTACAAATTCATGGTCTGGGGTGAGGCATCCCTGCCCATGGCTGGGGTTTGGAACTACATGATCTTAAGGGCCTTTCCAACCCAAATCATTTTAGGATTATTTTCTTGGTACAGGTTGCAGACAATATCAGCATGATGCACGTTCACCTGTTTGGAGCCTACTTTGGCCTGGCCATCTCCTCACGTTTCTCTGAGCCATCACCAAGGTCTGAGAAGAATGCAAGTACCCCGAAATCAGATTTATTGTCAATGTTGGGTAAGGCATTTGCTTTAATGTCTCACTTGGAAAAAGATTGCAGTGGGAACACAAGGAAGGTTTTGGGGGCTGGCCACAGCACACTGAGGCTTTTGTGTCCAAAATGCACAGCTGAATGCAGTCAAGCATAGAAAACTGCTGCTGCTGCTGTGGCTTGTGGTTTCTGACAGTGTCTTGGTGAGTCCCACCATGTTTCCTACCAGGCATGCAAGCACTCCTGCAAGGGCTGTGGCTTCATGTGCTTTTGTCAGGCTCAGCATATAGGCTATGCCAGGTTATCCGTTCCCTCTCCCAGCTATGATTGCCCCTTTGGGCTTGTTTAGGCATATTGGTAAGGGACCTGTGCACCAAAATTGAGATCATTACTTGTGTTTCAGTAGTGCTTATGTTGCCAGCTGGGGCCAAGGCTCAGTTTTCTTTTGCAAGGTGCTGTACAGAGATATAAAAAAGCAGTCCCTGCCTAGTAATGTAAATGAAAAGATAAAAGCCTGATGAAGGGTGGGGAATACGATACAGACAGGCACATGAGGAAGGATCTGGGTGATGACAGGATGAATGTTCTATTCCTTTTCTTAAAGAAGCAATTTGGTAACTGCCACCAGTTGAAGAGCTTTCTGCGAAGGCCCACAGAGTCTAATTCTGTTAGTCTTTGCCCAGTTAAGGGAAAGATAAATTCAAATGCTGCTGGTTTGAGTCCCTGGAGTTCTTGTTTTGCTGGAGAATTTGAGGAGATCAGTAGTTTAATATAACTTATCAAGACACTGGTAAACCTTTGTGATAATTTCAGTGCAGCTTTTACAATCAAGTGGTTGCTTTGGAGTAATTACATTGCCATGTCTTGAATAATTCCTGAGGTAACATGGGCAGACAGGAGCAATAGAGCAGGCAAATTCCTCATAGTTCCTTTTTGCATCCTGTTTCTGAGGTTGAAGGCGAAGGTTGCTGAGGTCTTCACCCATATTTGGACTCACACTGTGACTATTTTATTTCCATAGCTGAGCAGATTGAGCTATTTGCAGCTCAGGGACCAGAGGCTCAGGTTGCCCTTTGTGGTCTAACTTGACACGGTGTGAGGCCACCTACTTCCCTCTGCTGGCTGGAATGTGATCTACGGGTGTGTGTCTGCACATACGAAAAGATGTATCCTGCCAAGCAATGGACTTGTTCTATAGAGGCCCAGATTCCCAAATGCTGACAGTTAGGGCCCAAGTCAGAGAAGCAGAAGAACCTGGTTTCATTCCTGTTGTTAGCGAAGCCTATGTGGTCATGAAAGTGTGACACCGTGCAGTGATCTTAGGGGAGGAAAGTGAACTGTTCTTTTGGACCCACAAACCAGGTAGTAGCTATAACCCTTCCATAGAGAACAAGAAAGTGAAGCTGTGTATGGCGGGGTTGGTGGAGCGTGATCACCTCAGATCAAGCTATTGGTCTCTAGCCCTGCTGGTAGAGGTAGAGAGGATTCTGTTCTTACAATCCAATTCATCCTCTCTTTCTCTTTGAAGCCTGCCAGTTGTACTGGCAGCCAAGGTAAAAGACATTCCAAAGTACACTTTGGGTTTCTTTATAGTGATTCATACCATGGGAGCCGTTTTCCTTCGTGGCTTTCATTCTCTGTTGCAGCTGGTTTTGAACAGTTATCCCGCAGTTCCATGAAAAGAGGCAGAAACTTTGAAGGAGTAAGTCCCTGGTGCCTGTGCAGAACAGGGAGGATGTTGATCATTTGGAAATCAACAGTGGAATTGTTCCTGCTTTTATCTGAACCTGCAAATAAGGGGATGATAGAAAGGGCAAAGCTGATGTTAAAGGGGTTCTTGAAAAGAGCGTCCTACCTTCAGGCCAGTGAAGGACCAGCCAGATGCCAGCAGAGCTGTGCTTTGGCCTGGGTGTTTGACATTACAGTGGTGTGTTTCTGGGAAGGTCCTGCTACAGCAGGTAGCTCTTAGGGCTTTCTGCGTCATAAGGTGTTATCCTTAGTTTAAATTGTGGGAGTTACAGAGAAGGCAGAATGTGGGCTGGAGCCCTCCAGAGACAGCCAGTGCTGGATTCCCTGTGTTTTAGAGCAGGTAATGATAGTCACTTGTCTTTGTCTCCAAGGCACTGTCTTTCTCTGGGTGTTCTGGCCAAGCTTCAATTCTGTGCTATTCGAGCGCGACAGATGGAGAGCCATCTGCAACACCTACTTCGGCCTCGCAGTGAGCGCTGTCACTGCCTTCGCCTTGTCTGTTCTGACCACAAAGGATGGGAAATTCAGAATGGTAAGACATGAGAGAAAATCGCCGCATGGAAAAGGGATTTTTCTGTGACTCAGTAATACACCGAAAGTATAAGAGCTATTAGGTAAAAACAAGCCCAGGCTTTCAGCCTGACAGTCATCATTTGCCTCCCAAGCAGAAGACTGAAGTTGCAACTTAGAAATGATGTCCTCAGATCGTAATTCACACTATCTAGAGGCTGCTGTACGTGATGACTGAACTCTCACTCTGTGTTCTTGTTCTTTGCTTTTACAGGCTTATATCCACAGTGCAGTTCTAGCTGGTGGAGTGGCTGTTGGTTATGCAGCACACAGCATCGAGTACCCTTGGATTGCAATGATTTTGGGTCTGCTTGCCAGCGTGATAGCCATCTTAGGATCTTACTGTTCACAGGTAGTACTCAAACCCTGAAACTGTTTTTTGTATAAGCTGTATGAACTTCTTTTCCAATGTAGGATACCTCAAGGGAAACCTCTTTTTCAAAAAGATCAAAGCTAGGAGACCTGAAGTCCTTTGAGCTTAGTGCAGGACTGCACCTTGCAAGACCAAAGTTCATTTTCTAGGTCTGCAATAGACAAATACACTATTATCAATTTGTGTTTCTGTGTATCAGTTAAACCTTTTCTTCTTCCCAGAGATGCTTGAATCCTCCTCTCAAGCTTCATGATACCTCTGGAGTTCATTTCACTTTTGGCATGCCTGCTGTGCTTGGAGCTCTTGCTCAGGTTGTTCTCTTAATAATAAAAAACTGGACTGATTTATCAAGGTACATAAATTCTTGCTATTAAGTAATAAATGTAGCTGATCATTATTGTAGTGTGCACTGAGAAGAGTTCTCATACATACAGGAAGTCATCACAGATAAATTGTTTTATATCAGATAACTTAAGATAATCTCTGAAGTCCAAAAAAGTCAGTGAAAAAGACTGTGAGTGTTGAGCAGACTTTGGATCAAAACTTTCATATTAGCTTTTGGTCCTGTTTTCTGTCTCCCTTTTTATTTCATGTTCAATACAGCGGACACAGGAGGTGAAGGCTGGGGATGTGTGTCCTTCCAAGAGTCAATTTGGCTTTTGCAACGTGTTTTGGGGAGCTTTGTATGCTAACATGGGGGGCAGAAATCAGCACTTCTCTTTGGATAAGGCTTGAACTCTGAGTCAGGGGCAAGAATACCAGTTTGGACTAAAGCCAGTCTGGACACTGAGCTGGAGAATACACCCGGGGAGATGCACTGCAAAAGCTGAAGGCTCAGTTCACAATATGCTCTGTAGGCTCTTTTGACCTGGCACTGGCATTTCATTTGTGCAAATCAGCCCCATGTTGTGTCCTACAAGAAGTTCCCTGATTTTCTCAGTTTATGCAGAAAGGAACCACAGTGCAGCATAAAGGCCTTACATGTTCTTGAAAAAACAAATCTTATGACATTTTACTACCACGACAGTGGTTTCTAAGGGCAAAATAAGTCCCCTGAAATCCGTTAGGTTTCTTAAAACACCTAACTGCAGCTGCAGGGAGATTCTGGAATAACAGGATTTTTATGGGAGGTTTTGATGTAAAATGCTGTGGAGATACAGATTAATTCACTGTCTTAATGCTAAATGCAGCAACTTCAAAAGGTGAAGCACTTGTTTTGCTTTTCAGTGTGGGTTATTTGGTCATGTTTCAAGTTGGTGCCTTCTGCCTGACCATCAGCATCGCTTTGGTAACAGGTTTTATTGCAGGTCAGTACTGAAAAAGGTGTTTTGGTACCTTCCTCATGTCCTTGGGGTGAGGGGTATGTCAGCTTATGGTACCTGCTGTCATGTCAGTGCAACACTCTGCAGAGAGAGGTTGAACTGGGGCTCTGAAGTGTGTTTCTGTGTGTAAATCATTTGGAGAAGAGCCAGGGGCTCTTCAAAGCCCTGTATATGAGATGTATTCAGCACAAATAACCTACTAGCACTATTCCTTCATTGGCAAAGCTTATTTTAACAGATGCTTAACAGTTGCCTTCAAATTTCAGCCAGGAGATGCGTGAGGATGGAACTATTTCTGCGTGTGGGTATCTGTGACACAGAATAGAGCTTGCCACATTTTAGGCCAGTTGGTAGAAATCTGCCAGGTTCACCAGTGGCCGTAGCTGGAGGGTACCAGCCAAACACTGGGCTGTGGTCACGAGTGGTTTGGGCTCACCAGGGCTCATGTGTTCCCTGTGACATCCTGGCAGCTGTGGTTTTCCTGAAGCTGTTGATTCTATCTTGAATAAAAGAGAAATGGCAGATGAAAACTGCTGCAAAACGCACTCCACAATGATTTTTTGTGTGTTTTAATCCATCTCAAACCTTTGTGGGACCATAAATGTAATGAAGATGTCGAGTTCAGCAAGCAGATTTTTAAGAAACATTCAGCTAAAATAATTTAAAATACAGTGTTTGACCAACAGTTTAGAAGTCCTGATGTTTCCATCTGAAATCCCAAGCTAGCAGTGCTGTGAGCCTGCTGCTTTAAATACACAGGCATTTTTCGTGCAAGAATAATCCTGGATGTATTTTCAGGGTCTGGCAAGCTCTTTAATGGGGTTTTACCTCAAGTAATTAATTTTTAATAACACAAGCCTTGATCCTGGCAAGCTTCTTTGTATTTAAGGTCAGCTTGAGTCAAGGGGCTCTGCTGAAGCGTTTAGTTGTTCGTATTTGATCTACGTTACATTTGCATGTGGGTTACTAAGAAGTTACACACAGTCGTCCCCTTTCCATGATGTATATATTTATATTGGATACATGTGTTTTTTGCAAATAGGTTTAATCTTAAACCTCAGACTGTTTAAGACCATCCCTGTATCCAAGTACTTCGACGACCAGTTTTACTGGGAGGTGAGTTTCAATGTCACGTGAACTGTGCGGGAGAACATAGAGCACCTTGGTGAAGAGCTCTGAGTATCTGAATGAAATTCAAATTAAGAAGAAAGGATAATTCCATTTCACAGTACATTTTGGATGCCTGTTTGAAATGGATGGACTGTTCCCACAGCTGATTCAGAGCTTGGTCTTGAGGTGGGATTGTCAGAGCCACTGGCGGGGACAGGGCTGGGAAGGGGGGAAGACGGAGCCTTTCTGTTGCAACACGGAGCTCAGGCATCCTCTGGGACTGACAGCCCTGGCCCCTGTGCTGCAGACACAGTCCCTGAGGCCTGAGCAGCCTCTGAGAGGGATTTCTAGAAGCCAGAAAATGGAACAAAAGGTGCTTTTATGAAACCCAGCCCCTCGGCCTTCCTGGGTGCAGGGTGGTGCTCAGCCTGATCCTCCAGCACAGGCCATGGGCACCTTCAGGTGCTGAAGGTGACATATCTGAATTATAGGAAAAAGACATGGATGAAAATAACCTTCTAATAAGGTTTTCCACTGCCTGTTTTGTATGATGATTTGGTGCATAGAATGTTCTGATACAAGAATGTTTGTTTTCACAGTTTCCCCATTTGGCTGTTGGATTTTGAATGGAGGAACCCAGATGAGCGATTTGACCGAGGCTCAAAAAGGCCATCCCAGTGGGCACCCAAAAAATGAGTAATAAACTGTACTGGTTATTCTTGACAGATACAGAGTGTAAATTTACAGATGCATTTAACTGTTCTGCTTTGTTGAACTGAAGTATTTTTTGGTAGGATATGTACAGAAAAGGTGGCTGTGTTCATTGCTGTAATGGCTTATCAATCAAAACGCTTGGAAACCTTAAACTATTTTTAGCTCCCAAAGTAAGTATTTTAAAGTACAATTTTTCAAAGTCTACAGACTCATTCTTCTCTAGCGAAGCATTCAAGTACTTGTTTTTAAGCTAAATTAATCCTGTTGAAGGCCTTGTTAAGCAGGGATTTGATGAGCGAGCTGGATCAGGGCCAGAACTCTGCATCCTGGTAGACTGAACTCTTGAGTTATCTGACAGCTTGAAGAAAAATCTATAATTACTTGGCTCAAGCTATCTATTTGGAAGCTCAGATGACAAGGGGTGAAATTGTTCTGCTTCTGGCTGGTGCCCTTGTCAGCAGTGGTATTTACTCAAATTGGCAGTAAAACTCAGCGCAGCCTGTCTGTGCGCTGACAGTGCCCAAAGGGCTCTGGCTGCCCTGAGTGCAGGCAGCAGGGGAGGCCATGGGGACGGTGCTTGGGCCTGGGTGGTACCAATCCTGAGGTGTTCTATGTTGGGCTGTTTTACCCAGTGCTGAGCTCAAGCCTGATGGGGCAAGTGAACCCTTGTTTTTAAATGAATTGTGATCCTCAGTGTTTCTTCTTTGGTTCAAAATAGCTGACACCAAAAAACTTACTCAAAAATGCTTACCTAATAAAAGAAAATGACAATGTGATGGTTGGTTTGTCACAGTTAACACGCTACAACCTGTGCCATAGGGTGCCAGGCTCAGCTAGTGTTCTTCACTTTCCAGCAGCCAAACCAAGAGCTGTTTTCTAGCAGGGGCGCTGCTAAGGAATAGTATTTTATTCGCCCTCTTCTCCCCACACCTCTTTTATCATTGATTTCTTGAGCAGCAACCCAGGTGAATGCATAGAAAGGGGCAGACACAGGATCAACATTCCCTCTGGCAGTGACTGTCCTGAGGAGTACTCTCTGACAAAGAGAGAACTCTTCCTTTTTTCACAGTGGTTACAAAACAGCTGAGAGCAAGGTCTGTGGATGAGCTGCTTCCACCTAGAGCCACTACACAACTTGTACTCGTGCCTCTACAGCGTCATCCACAGCAACAGTGAGTTGTTATTCACCAGACACTTCCTCATTACTGCTGTAGGACAAATTAAATTGTGTGTGTGGCGGGGAATTCCAAAGCAGCATAGTTCTATATTATGCAAGAAAAGCCACACACCAGTTTTGAAATGGAAGAAATGGTTATATTGTCCAGATATAGGAAATATTTAATAAATAGATGTTAAAAAGTTGTTTTAAAGCATTTTTAGTAAGTCTTGGATTGTAACTAACGTTGTAGAAACAGCTGGTTAAATACATCCATTTGCCACTACGCTATTTACTTGTAGCAAACATGGTATCACAAAAGTGACTTCCATTGTGACGTGCAGCAATCCTACATGTGTTAAAACCATTACACGTTGCAATCAGCATACAAGAGTAAAAAATGAAACAGCACAGAACTGGAATTTTGAGTGCTATGATTCGAGTTTTCCTTGGTTTATCTTCAGACACAACTGAAGGTCACCCTTTACAAAAAGGTTTTACAAAATGTTGGGAGTGTGCAGTTAAAAACCCAGCGTGGCCAATGCACTTCCACAGGCATGTTCATTGCCACAAGTCTTCCGTGCGACCAAATTTGAAGACCAGTCCTCTGTTTAAAACAGAATAAAGAGACACGAGTACATCATGGAGCAAATCAAACACCTATTATGTTAAATATAAGATTTCAGAGAGCAAAGTTCCTGGTCCTGCAATGAAACTTATGCAGACAGATCCCAGAGATCTACTGCCTCTACCTGCAGTTTATTCACATGTGTAGTTACAAAACAGGACTTGAGGAAAAAAACCCCAGATTACAGTAAGTTTCAGTTTTTATCATTAAAAACAAATTAGATGAAACAAACAAAGGAAGATTGTCTTACCCAAAAAAGATGAATGCATTCTGGAAGAACACAGCTATTCCTGGGTACACTACTGCTTTTTCTATCAAAAGAAAGAAATCTCCATAAATGTCTCCAGAAAATCCTCTGCAATCTCTGTTCTCAGAAGACAAGCATCAGCCAGCCTCACCCCACTGGAAAGTTAATTCAATGGCTTTTGTGTCATCCCCCCCTGTAATTTAGCTTTCCAAAGAGAAGAAATCTCTCTTGTTCTCTAACCAAACACGTGCCTCTCATGCAGTGCTGATGAATACTGCAATTATCCTGTTTGGAGTGCAGATGTGTGTCAGTATGTACAGGTATATATTCACGTATAGTGACCATATATGAAAGGGGAGCACACATTAGCACTGCTGTGCAGCTGAGGCACTTGGCTTTCTTTGAAAATCCCCCAGGAATTGAGTAAGGCCAAAGCTGACAAGAGCGTGTGTTAAAGAAAAGCACCAACACGTCTGGAATTCACTTCAGCTTCAGGCAGAAACAGGGTTGTTACATGCACTCAAGTGACCCAACTTCCTTTTGAAAAACAAAGGCCAATGCACTGTTCTAAACTTCTACAGTCATTTAAAATACCTTCAAACTTTCAAAACCAGATCAGGTCACATTCCACACTGTATCTTACCTTTAACAACGTAGCCTCCAAAAAGGATCCACATGGAAGCAATCAGAGATCCAAAAGCCATCATAAAACCAATGAACAGCCAGATCCGAGCACCTTGAAAACCACAGAGGGATGTTTTGTGCCTGTGCCCGAGTCCAGACACTCCTGACTTTCAGGGTGCTTTTGTTTGGGAGCCACACCAGAGCCAGGCAATGCTACACAGAGAACAGCTACCATGGCTCTTCCAAGACTTGGTGGCTTCCCAGCTCTGTCACTGCACAAGAGCCTACAGCTCCGTACCTGTTTGTCCCAGGCAGCCTTCACTGTAACTGTCACCTCGCACTTGGCCATTAGATACCGCGTTGATCCTGCACGAACAAAACAGGATCAAACTGGGTAAACATGGGTAAAGCAAGAAGTATCTTTACAAAGCAATATGAGGAATAGGAAACCTCTCAGAAACCTACAGAAAAAGGATAAAATCATGTATTTCTTGTGTATTTGTTTTTAAGGGTATAAGGCTAAAACATAATAGTTTTATTTAGCTAGAAATAGTAAAAAGCATTTCTCCAAAGACTAATGAGACTTGGACCTGTACAACTTTTAATTTTTTAAATGGTTCCATACTCTAACTATCCACAAATGTAAGACAGATATGAGAGACACAGATAGTAACTTGATCTCTTATTCCTAGTTACCTCTCCATTTAACGACTACGTGCTCCTTTATTAACTGCACAAAGTAGGTTGGAATGTGTAGCTCTGATCAAGAAATTGCACTTACATTAGGAATGCAAGAGTGGCTATAACCCCACAAGCATGGTACGAATGGTTGAAGTCTTCCATTTCAGGGTACTTTACAGCTGCATCTATGATTATCCACCAACCTGTGAAAAACTATTTGGAAAGAAGAAAGAGCACAATGACTTAAAATGTGGAGAAAGCGTTTTAACAACAGAGCTCTAGAAAAAGTGACATTACTATAGAAACTCATTCTTGCAGTCCCCAACCCTGAGTCGGCCGACAGCACAACTAGTTTTGCCATCGACTGGGGAACAGGGTTAAATGCAAAGCCAGGGATTTACCTAATTCCAGGAGCGATTAAATGGGTAGAAGCTGCGAAACTTAAGACACAGATGCAAGCACGTAGGTTTTGTCACTACTGCTACAGAGGAGAACATATCCCTGTTCCTCCTTCTACCGCCAAAGGGATAACAGTTCCTAGCCCACCCCCAGCCCGAGCCCGAGAGCACCCGAGCGAAGCCGCACGCACCAGCACTCCGGCAGCGACCGACGCGATCATGTTCCGCTTCTCCCCCCAGTCAACGCACTCCGAGCACCTCAGGCTCTCCAGAAACCCCGACATCTTCCAGCGCTCCGAAGGGCTGCGGGAGGAAAAGGCACGTTTCCTTCAGCTCCGGGGCTGCGCGGGATGGGTCCGAACCGCAGGGCCC